TGCCAGATGTTCAGTGTATAAGAGCCATATAGAGTTTCGTACCCACGAGGCAAACAAATGTAATGATTTGATGAAATTACGAGTGAAACAACAGCAGCAAATTTGCTTTCCTCTAATTCTGTAAGCCGCTGTGGAATCGACGGGAGTTCAGGCTGAAGATGAAGTGCTGAGTTCTGCAAGCCGTCGTCGGGTAAATTATCGTCTATGGATGTAAAAACTAGGGTCTACGAATCGAAGACGCGGGCAAACTGAAATTCTTGTCCACTGGTTTTTGCAAATCATCTCGCGGACAATTTATCGACTACATATCCAACGCCACAGTCGATGTTCGTTGCAACCCTCTGCCTTTCCACTCTCTTGAAAGAACGGTAACTGCTTTGTCTGGAACATGTGCTAAGACTATGTTAAGTCTGTTACGTTGAAAGTCACACGAATCCTTGGATGGCATTGAATAAGAGGCGGAGAAGTTATCTGAGAGCTGACTAACTACGGACAGTGATAGCCGTAACAACAACACATAAATGTAATGATTTATACTTTTTAACTCCACTTCGTTTTTCTAGGGTCTCTTGTCGCTTCGATTGCCTAAAGTATCCTAGTTGTCCAGCAAATGTCATATCTTCAGTTATATCCAACTTAGTGTCATTTCATTATCATTCAGGTAACTTGTAATCATCTGTTTCGCCCACCTTTCCGTACTTTCCTGCACAATATGATATCCGAAAGTAATAGGAAGTTGTTATAGTTATTAAAAGTTAACCCTGATTGAAAGGCAGAGTTGACCCAATTTTAGATGTTTGTTCTGTGACGCAGTCGGTGTTGGCAATGGTTGAATCTCCTTGCTAAATTATGATATTGAAGCATTATTATTGAAGCAGACAAAATTGACTGTTTTTACTTAATTACTGAAATATTCGGGGATCGATCAGCTTGAAGGTACGAAGAGCAGTGGCACGTATGTACATTTATTTGTCTATATTTTGGGTTTAAGGAGAAAAATGTTACTGTTGCCATTGCGCCGTCTTAAATTATAGCTTAAATTATAGTTTTATAGCTAGTTATTACGTTTTATGATATTCGTTTATAGTGCTGTATTGTTAAGGGTGTTCCGAGTGGTCATTGAGCAGCAAGCAATTCATGGAGCGATACGGCCTTTTACCGAAAGGTACAGTGACGAATGACGTGGCCCCTAGGTGTCGCGTTCGACTACCATTTGAGGGAACGAAGCCACGGAACCGGTCTGCGCACAGCAACACTAGGCAGGGTATGCAACACCCCGGCTGTAAAAAGCGCGGTCCGAACTTCGCCTCACAGCTGAGCGTAATCGACGATGAAAGTGTTGATGATGAGGAGCCAAACTATGACTATGAACGCTATCACCACGGCTGGAACTGACCGCTGTTTTGCGCTGTTTTTTAACTCTTAAATGTTATTTGTTGTCATGAAGATAGTAACTCCTTATTTCAGTTACATACCAACGAATGTACACCTCAGACCGATCTCGATCCCAGGAAACAGTTCGCTAAATTTTTCCTGAAGGCGCCAAAACTGCTGGACTGTAACGACAACTCACCTGTGCAACAACCAAGAAGAAACAACGCGTTGTTCGAAACTCGTGCATCTACAGATGTCCTTTTAAAATATTCCAACATTTGTTCTTTATTCGAACCTTCCCTTTATCTTCATAAGGCAATTTTTGTTTTTCTATAAATTACTGACAACGCAAATAAAGCTGTTTCAATCGTACCTGCGTACTGCTGTGTTAAAAAATTTTGTGCAGAAATACTTGCAAAATCATTGCAAGTGATCCATCGCACACGCATTGCTTTGTGTAATAAGCTGTTTTTGTGTTGTTTTTCATTACTTTAATCCATTATAAAAATTAAACTAACCGTAATCTATCGTATAATAAATCAGTTTGACCTAGAACTTACTCATTAAGAACTGTTATGAAATAGCGAAGAATGTAATATCGTCATGCATTTGCGCAGGAACTCCTTTACAAACCATCTGTCGATAAGCAATATACAAACTAGTTGCTTAGGGGGCCATTTAGGCAGGCCTCGTTCCAAGATGTTCAAGCAGCTGGTACTCATTATTTGTTTCCAGTAACATTGAACTATGTTCATGCCCTGACGTGGATTAAACGACGCATGACTCGTTCAAAGCCAAGTTTATCTTATGCTGATTTTCAAGCTGAATTTGCAAGTTCGCTGTTACAGGCGACGAGACAGAAGAATCCAAGCCTGAACAAAATCTAGGCTTTTGTATTCTCAGAAAAAGTCACTCATTGTTTTTCACATTAATAGTTGCGGAATTAAGCCATTTCATGGTGATGAATGAATTGAGCAGTAATTTGAAGCTATCTGTTTTAAGTCCGTTTACGTTTCTACGTTCATGTAGAAGCGCGATGGAAATTTTGTTTGGGCAGAAGTCTTCATAGCACAAGTGAATGAAGACTGCCACATAAAGAAAAGTTTTCTTACGGAGTTACCAACCAAGAGTAACGTGACAGCCATCTATAATTGAATCAATCAGTTATAGCAGTAGTATGGACTATCTGACATGCTGCTTGATAAAGGATGATTATAGAGTACTGATAACCAAGTCAAACGCACTGATCAAGGTGAACCTAAAGTAAATTTCGAATATTATGTGAGTGTCACAACGGCAAGTTCTTTTGGTATTCACTGTGCAAGTCTGAGCAATGCATAGAATTAAAGAAATGAGTACAGATCGTCTACCTCATGCTTCTCTCATCAAGTGATCTGTATGGATACTTTGTTACTTAAGTGTTCTCTATTCTGTTTCTACCGCCGTCAAAAATCCATCTCTTAGTTTTATAATGACAGATGGGTCTTTCACCTTAACAGGTATAAAATAAACACGAAATTCTTTGTGACACAGATTAACAAACGACCGAAAATCTGCATTCTCTAAGCCTAAATCTGCAAGCCTACTACTCGTATCAAATAATCAAATTCTCGCTGTTTCGACTGCACTTTCTTCCACATGCCTTAGACTTAAACCTTGGTGAGGTACAACACTTCATTGTATCTCGTTTCCGTCAGTATCCTATAACAGTGATTCAAGAAGAGTCCGTTTCCTCTGCATTCTCAGATCCTTCGTTAACCAGAAGCCTCAAACAGAACGTCCAACTACCTTTTATAGCGGTTCTTGGTATTATCAATTTGATTCAAGGTATCTTAGCAGTCGGATGTTCATTTCACATGACCGATTCGATTCTACCATGGTATGTCGTATCCACTTGGATACTTCTTAACGTGTCCACAACAACCTTATAGCTTTGTGGTATTTTTCGAAGCACGAGATTTAAGCTTTCCAAAAATTATTTCTAGTCGTGTCTTCGTTACTTTGATGCATAATATCAGAACTAGTTATGATATTTGGTACTCCACTTTCATTTCGTTTCCAGGTATTCACGGTGTCACAGTTGCAAGAATGATTACGATGAAAAGGCAATACGTTTCAATATCGAAGAGCATTATAACAAAGAGAGCAATAAATGAAGCAAAATCAACCTTCCCATTTTGTTATGGTATTTCTAAGCAAGCGATATACTTATCTTTGATTGTTTTTACAGCCTTGCATTGGTTATTCTGATGCGTAATATAATAAGTATTTATGAGAGTCGGTACTCCCTTTCTGCTGCAAGTATTACATGTCTTGACGGTATCGCCATTTTAAGAAGCATAAGACTGGAAATGAAACTACTTTTTAATATGGAGTAGCATTACAGTCGTGGGAGCAGTGAAGAAAATAAAAATTTAAGGCGAATTCGGTGCTGACTCTGACATTTCCTCTGTCATTATTTCGTTTTTCTGCAGTTCGCTTCTGAAATAACAAAAAAAAGAAAATGAAATCATAATTAAAAAATACTTTTCCACAAGACTGGATTCGAAAATAAGAAAATAAACGGCAGAAATCCAAAAAAAACATTGCATATTTAAGGCGAAATTTTCAGAACTTTCCAATCATATTCCTTTATTAACGTTAGAGAAATAACGATTCATATAACTATTATTGCTAAAACGAAATCCTCGATCAATTACTCTTGTCACTGTGAGAAAGGAATTCCGTTCTAGAATTCCAAAAATTTAGCCATAAATGAATATAATATTGGATATTAATTAATTATATAATCTCTTGGTGAGTCACAAACGGAAAGACAACGCATAAAATGTTCTTTAACTAGGGACATTTGCCGTTTCAGACCAAAGTCGGTACAATATATTATATAATACATATTTTATTTCAGACTTATCATCTACTGCTTTACTTTTCATTATTAATTTCAGATCTGAAGGGGTCATTTGATTTTGATAGTGTAAAATATCACAGGCCGAAGTGTACGGCTAATTACTGCTACTTGATACGAACAGCAGAACCAGAAAATAAGTCAT